GGGAAGGAGGCGGGCGGCGTTGAACTGAGATGGGTCGGGTGTTGATCTGAACGCTGGGGAGATGGGGCGGAGATCCGGTGATGATCGGCGATGAAAAGGGGGCGGCGGTCGGCATTCGTGAACGACGGTCAGAGGTCTGGTTGGAGGTGTGGTCGAAGATGGGAGGAAGACGGTGGCGGTGTGGATTAGGGCAGAGTTGTTTGGGTTAGGGCAAAGTGGATGGGGTTATGTCGCTGGTTTGAAGAGGGGTTTTTTTTCTTTTTAAACCAGCTACCCACGGGTGTGGGGGATGGGTGTGGTAGAGTCTGTATTTTTTTCCTGTGGACTGTGGGTGTGGTGTACACCACCCCTGGGTGTGGTAGGCTCTGCCACTCCATCTTTAACTCTTTTTTCTGCAGTTTTTTTTTCAATGTCTTCATTTCTTCAGAACTGCATGATAAAAAATATTATAAGTTAAATTTGTGCCGATCCAATTGCCTAAAAAATAAAAATAAAAAAAATTGAAAACAAAATAAAATGCTAAAATAAAAGAACTAGAATGGGTGAAAACTTGGGTTGCCTCCCAAGAAGTGCTCGTTTATGGTCATGAGCTCGACCCCTTTTGCGTTCAATTCTCCGACGAAGGGGGATCGGAAAGGGTATAAGTGACCCCTTTCTCGTTTTGTTCACCTACAATATAGTGCTTCAATCGTTACCCATTCACCTTGAAAGATCCTATTGTTTCGCTCCAAACTTCAACAACTCCACTAGGAAAAACCTCACGGACTTGAAAAGGTCTGGACCATCGAGATTTGAGCTTGCTCGGAAAAAGCTTCAAACGAGAGTTGAAAAGTAGCACCATATCTCCTTGATTAAACTCTCTTCGAAGAATATTCTTGTCATGCCATTGTTTAGTCCTTTCTATATAAATACGAGCATTCTCATACGAATCCAAACGCAGCTCATCTAGCTCATGAAGTTGAAGCTTTCTTTTCTCACCTGCGGTCTTCATATCAAAATTGAGGAGTTTGATAGCCCAATACGCCTTATCCTCTAACTCAACTGGGAGATGACACGATTTGCCATATACCAATTTGAATGGTGTCATACATATGAGCGTTTTGTATGCAGTTCGATAGGCCCATAAGGCATCTGTGAGATTCATAGACCAATCCTTTCTTGAGCGATTAACTGTTTTCTCCAAAATACCCTTAATTTCACTATTCGAAACTTCCACTTGACCACTAGTTTGAGGATGATATGGCATGGCAACTTTATGAGTGACCCCATATTGTCTTAAAAGACCTTCAAATTTTCTTTCAATGAAGTGTGAACCTCCATCACTGATCACCATTCGTGGCACCCCAAATCTTGAAAAAATAACGTTTTTGAATAGTTTCACAACAACTTTAGCATCGTTGGTGGGGGATACTATCGCTTCTACCCACTTGGAGACGTAGTCCACCGCCACTAAAATGAACTTGTTGTTACACGATGACGGACGTAGTCCACCGCCACTAAAATGAACTTGTTGTTACACGATGACGGAAACGGTCCCATGAAATCTATTCCCCACACATCAAAGACTTCAATTTCCAAGATGGAGTGTAAAGGCATTTCATGTCGCTTCGAAATATTCCCGGTCCTCTGACAACTATCACAAGATATCACAAACTATCTTGCATCCCGGAAAAGACTCGGCCAATAGAAACCTGATTGTAGAACTTTTGCAGCTGTCTTTGAAGTGCTTGCATGTCCTCCATAAGAAGATGAATGGTAATGATGGAGAATACTTGTAACCTCATTTTCAGGAACGCACCTTCTAAACATCCCATCAACACACCGTTTGTATAGAAATGGTTCATCCTAAAAATAATACTTCAAGTCAGCAAAGAACTTCTTTTTCTGTTGATAGCTCAGATCTGGAGGCAAGACTCCACACACTAGGTAGTTGACGAAGTCCGCATACCATGGTGCATCCAATCTTTCAATGGCTAACAACTGATCATCTGGGAAAGAGTCATCGATCGGTAGTTCATCCTCCTCCTTATCATGTGATTCTTGCTTCATCCTCGACAAATGGTCTGCCACCAAATTTTCCGTCCCTTTCTTGTCCTTGATCTCTAGGTCAAATTCTTGCAAAAGTAGTATCCATCGGATCAACCTAGGCTTAGCATCTTGCTTGCTCAAAAGATATTTGATGGCGGAGTGGTAGGTATAAACGATGACTTTGGACCCCACTAAGTAAGACCTGAACTTGTCAAAAGTGAATACAACTGCTAATAGCTCCTTTTCAGTGGTAGCGTAGTTAACTTGGGCTTCATCAAGAGTGCGACTAGCATAATAAATTGCATGAACTATCTTGTTCGTCCTTTGGCCCAACACAGCACCAACCGCATAATCACTTGCATCAGTCCTGACTTCAAATGGGAGATTCCAGTCCGGCAGTTGCATAATAGGAGCTGTTATCAATGCTTCTTTCAACCTGTAAAAAGCATCAAGATATTCATCAGTGAAATCAAAGGTAGCATCTTTAAGAAGAAGGTTAGTTAACAGTTTTGAAATTTTTGAGAAATCTTTGATGAAACGCCGATAGAAACCGGCATGTCCCAAGAAACTTCGTACTCCCCTAACTGACGTTGGTGGAGGCAATTTTTCAATGACTTCCACTTTTGATCGATCAACCTCAATTCCACGCTCAGACACCTTGTGCCCTAAAACTATTCCATCCCTTACCATAAAGTGGCATTTCTCCCAGTTTAGGACTAAATTAACTTCTTCGCAACGCTGCAAAACTCGAGACAAGTTAGATAAACAACCATCAAAAGTAGTTCCATACACGGAGAAGTCATCCATAAACACGTCCATAATATCCTCTATAAAATCAGAGAAAATGGCCATCATACATCGTTGAAAAGTGGCGGGGCATTGCAAAGACCAAAAGGCATGCGCCAATAAGCAAAGGTCCCATAGGGACAGGTAAAAGTGGTCTTTTCCTGGTCACTGGGATGGATAGGAATTTGGAAAAATCCCGAATAGCCATCTAAATAACAAAAATATGAATGCCTAGCAAACCTTTCCAACATCTGGTCTATAAAGGGAAGTGGAAAATGATCTTTTCGGGTTGCCTTGTTCAATTTCCTATAATCAATACACATCCTCCAACCCGTAACCGTCCTAGTAGGGATAAGTTCGTTATTTGCATTCTTAACTACGGTCACACCTCCCTTTTTAGGAACCACATGAACCGGGCTAACCCATTCACTATCAGAAATAGGATAGATTACCCCAGAATCTAGTAGCTTAAGCACTTCCTTTTTAACCACTTCTTTCATGTTAGGATTTAATCTACGTTGGTGTTCTATAGAGGGTTTATGATCATCTTCCAAGAGAATTCTATGCATGCAAATTGATGGATTAATTCCCTTAATGTCATTAATGGTGTATCCTATGACCTTGCGATGCATCCTAAGTGTTCTAAGCAACTTATCAGTTTCATTTTCATTCAGACATGCATTCACAATAAGTAAAATCAGGGCCAAGAAATTCATACCTTAAAGAGGAAGGGAGGGATTTTAATTCTACCTTTGGTGCATTATCCTCTTCACAAATAAAACCTTTTGGCTCTAGCATCAATCTTTCAAGCTTTGCATTTCGAAGTGGAGCAATTGATGTTGATTCTAAAGATTGAGCATACGCGGCTACCTCGGGGTCTTCATCATTTATTGAACTGTCGTATACCAAACACTTCTCAAGTGGATCAGCTGAGTTATGGTTTGCAACTTGCTCAAGGGTACACTTGTCAATGATGTCAACCCTGTAACAAATTTTATCAGTTAGAGGGAGTTTCATAGTATTGTTTAAATCAAATTCTACCGTCTCCCCTCCAATATTTAGAGAGAACCTTCCATTTTTAACATCGATTATAGCACCTGCAGTAGTAAGGAAGGGTCTTCCTAATATAATTTGAATGTTAGAATCTTGTTCTATTTCCAAAATAACGAAATCAATCGGGATAAAGAATTTACCGACCTGGATAGGTACATCTTCAAGTATACCTATCGGATATTTTACCGATCGATCCGCCAATTGGAGTGATATCATGGTTGGCTTCAAATCACCAATGCCAAGCTTCTTACAAATAGACATCGGCATCAAACTTACGCTTGCACCTAAATCACACAAAGCACGGTTAATAGAGACATTACCAATAACACAAGGAATAGAAAATGAACCTGGAGCCTTAAGCTTAGGAGGCATCTTATTCTGGATGATAGCACTACACTCCTCAGTAAGGGCCACAGTCTCGTATTCTTCCAACTTCCTTTTGTTAGATAGGATCTCTTTCAAGAACTTAGCATAAGAAGGCATTTGAGAAATAGCTTCAGGGAAAAATCGTTTTCATTGACGTCATTGTTTTCTTAAGCAACAGTTTATCGGTTATAAAAGATCCGGTCTTTTTATAAGATCCGGTTACAACAAAATCAAAGAAAGAAAAAAAGATTACAACTTTTCTTTTCTCGAACAAATCGCAAGATCCTGTTTTGCGGTCTCTTGCTTGTGTGGGTTCTTCGCCTGCGCCGGGGTTAATCCGTAGACCACCACATGATCTAGATCCGGTCGGATCTACACGGTATGATGGGTGCTATTTCACGAAGGAAATAACAGCCGGGGGGATTATTTCACCAAGGAAATAATAGCCCTAAGTGATCGAAATCGACCAAGCGAAATCGACAGCCGGGGGGATTATTTCACCAAGGAAATAATAGCCCTAAGTGATCGAAATCGACCAAGCGAAATCGAAACTCTTCTCGGGATCAAAAACCAAGTTTTGATCCGGAGGATGACCGTGTGGATCTCAGATCTGATCTCTCTCGAACTCCTACCTTATTTGACGTGGATGATCACCAAGAACCAGATCTGAAAAGCCCGAGTCTTCAAAGCTCCAAAACTCTGAAGTTCAATTCTCAATCCGGCAGAGTTTCACCTCAAAAGTTCTAAGTCCCAAAACAATGAGCCCTCATGTCTATTTATAGGTATTTGAAACCAGATCTGGGTTCAGATCTGAGCCCAGATCCGTGGCTCGGCTAGGTGGCTCGGCCACCGAGCCACCGCTTCGCCCGTTTTCCAGTTTTGCAGTTAATCCGAACTTCCTCGTTGTTCTGGACTTTGATTTGGCAGTCCGGATCCTAATTTGACAGTAAATCCGCTTTGGTGTTCGAGTTCGAGTCCGCTCCCGATCTTGTTTGATGTGGTGGACTCTACGGTTGAATGACTCATCGTTTCATCGACCCGTTAGCTTGATTGGGCACGCGATTGGATGTATTTTATTATTTGCGTGCGGTTCGTTAACCTCGTCGCCTCGTTAATCCGCTTCGTCGCGTGTCACTTGGCTTCGGTGTTGTGGTCTAACGACCATGCTTGGATATATCGCCCGATGGTTCGTTGGTTTGTCGAATCACCGTGCCGAGCTATGTTAAGGGACCTATAAGCAGTTTTATATGCCTACAGATACCCCCTCTAAAGTATTTCAGTCTCATTCTTTTATAGAAGAGTCTGGAATACTTTATATATGATTGTCCCAACCTTCAATCGGTATGACGGAACTTTGGAATGGCTTCTATTCTTGATTCCTTCAATCCTTCAGACTATTCGGTGCTTTGTCGAATATCTGCAAGGGTTCCGGTGCTGCATTTATTGTCTGACCGTTGTTGGAATTTTGAACTTGAAGTCAATTCCTGATTTTCTGATTTTTAGCTTGTGTTTGCTGTTTCAACATATAACCGACCATCGTTTGTTGGCGTTGAGTCTTCATTCGCAACGCGTTGTCCGGCGTTTGACACAGTTTATACTCATATGTCTGTTAGAGTCTTGAGAAGTAGTTTATACTCTTATACTTTTCGGAGTGTTGTTGAGTTATTCTTAAGAATATTTTTAGTTTATACTCTTATACTTTTCGGAGTGTTGTTGAGTTATTCTTAAGAATATTTTTAGAAAAATACTCTCCAGAAACTTCTCAACAAAAATAGGGAATAGTTTATACTCATATACCTTATTGGAGTACTAAGAATGAGCTGATATGTTTCCTGCGTCTACACTCCCTAAGAATCCTGAGGATGATCCTTTTGAAGGTACGTGCCTCTTCTCAAGTTAATTATAGGACTAGCCAATTTTTGACTAATGCAGCTATAATGTGATGCATCTGAGAATTCCGTTTTGTGTTTGACAGAAGCTTTTGTCGAGACTGGTCCTGTTAAGCCGGCTGTGAGACCAACTACATCAGCTGATACATCCATAGCGGTTACACCTCCACTACCCCCAGTGACTCAAGGGGAAGGAGGTATAAATTAAGCAACTGAGAAATGTCATTTATTTCCTTATCAAGGCTTTTGACGGATTTCCCCCTTTTTGTGTAGGGCTTTCTTCTCGGCTTCATGTCCTTGTGAAGGAGTTGTTATCAGACAACGACCCTGAGAAGATCGTCATCTGTATAGAAGTCCGCTCCTTCTTCTCCTTCGTGAATACTATGATTGGCAAGCTCTTCCACGGCGGACTTTTCCTTCGCCAATTTAAGCTTTTCCTTGATCCCAGAATAAATTCAATAAGGGATGCAGGATATTCGGATCTGGCGAAGGCTATAATGGATGACCTTGATTGCTTGGAGCATGAGCTTCAGATGTTATGTGAGCTCCGGGATGCAGGTGCCTCTTCATTCATTGCTGCCAATTTGGATACTCGCTTACAGACATGGCGCGATACTCGAGTTCTTGCTGAGCTCGAGATTCAGGTGCAGCGGGATCGGGTAGACCGAGTTGAGGCCAATCTTGCTGTTAGATCATCTTCACTTGACGATCTTGACCTTGCGGGTTTGATGAGCCTTTACCGACTACCGTTTGAGTCGGGCTAGCATGCGGATTATCGGAATCCGTTCCGCATGTAACGTTGTGCTAAGGGAATGAACTCCCTTAGACTTCGTGCTATGATGTCGAATACATAGACTTCGCCATTGTTACGGGAATAGGCTACCCGGCGACACGTGTTAGGTGTTGACTTTAGGATTTTTGGCTAACCCCCAGCCTTCAACGGGTTTGATTAGCCTTTACCGACTACCGTTTGAGTCGGGCTAGCATGCGGATTGTCTAAATCCGTTCCGCAAGTAACATTGTGCTAAGAGAGTGAATTCTCTGAGACTTTGTGCTATGATGTCGAATACATAGGCTTCGCCATTGTTACGGGAATAGGCTACCCGGCGACACGTGTTAGGTGTTGACTTTAGGATTTTTGTCTAATCCCCAGCCTTCAACGGGTTTGATAAGCCTTTACCAACTACCGTTTGAGTCGGGCTAGCATGCGGATTGTCTAAATCCGTTCCGCATGTAACGTTGTGCTAAGAGAGTGAATTCTCTGAGACTTTGTGCTATGATGTCGAATACATAGACTTCGCCCTTGTTACGGGAATAGGCTACCCGATTAGACGCTGACTTATCCCTACTTAGGCTTCGGGATAAAATACCCCAGACTGGTATTCTGGTGTCTTTTTCTACGGAGAAAGACTAACCCGGCGACGCGTGTTAGGCGTCGGCATATCCTTTCTTAGGATTCAGGATGAAATTCCCCATGCGTGTAAGGCATGGATTTTGGTGTTATTAGTAATAACCTTCCATAATGTTGAATATGTGGGCGGGTGTTCTTTTTAACGGTTAATAACTAACCGGCAGCGTGGGTTAAGCGCAGACTTATCCCTGCTTAGGTTTTAGGATAGAATACCCCAGAATCGAACTCTGGTGTCTTTTTCTACGGAGAAAGACTAAACCGGCAGCGCGTGTTAGGCGCAGACTTATCCCTGCTTAGGATTCGGGATAAAATTCCTAGGGTGAATCCTAAATTAACAAATTCTTGGAAAAGGTTGGTGTGGGAAAGGTAGAATTTTATATTCTATTTCCCGATCTTCTTTTAGGGTGAAGGCGAACCCGAATACAAGGAAGGAAGAATTTTATATTCTATTCCTTGATTCTGGAAAGGAAGAATTTTATATTCTATTTCTAGAGCAAAAGAAACTAGAAGTGGGATCTCCACTCCGAGAATATGGAAGATCTAGATAAACTTACCTTTTATAGGATTGGTTATCTAAAGTGAAGATGAGTTTTTCGTTTATCGAAGTGAAATTTCAACTTCGGTTATAACCATGAGAAGGCTTAACCAAAGAGAAAAAGAAGGGAGTTCTTTCGTTTATCGAAAGGGGACTCTGAACTGAAAGTGGACCTCTTGTTCATGAAAAGATTCAAGAGGGGAATTTGCTGGTGGTTTGGGCCAGAAAGACATTTTTGGTGGACTCACTGTCAATTGAAATTGATCAGTGAGGGATTTTGGTAATGAAAATGATTTTGGGTTATCCTCTAGAATATGAAGTGTAATATTCTTCAAGGAACTTCCCGGTAAATGGGTTATCCTGAACGTACTAGGGATAGTACTTTTTCAGGAACTTCTTATTTATTGGCATTAATTGCCTGGCGCCCTCTTGAGTAATCAGGCGATATGCATCGTTTGAGTAGACTGTGTCTATCACAAACGGTCCTTCCCATTTGGGTTCAAATTTACCTTTCTTCTTGGAGTTGAGGATTATCGGTCGGCGAGCAGCGAGGACCAGATCTCCTTCCTTGAAGCTTCTCTGTCGGACTCTTTTGTTAAAAGCCTTAGATATTCTGGCTTGATAAAACTCAATGTGTTGCTGAGCTTCCAAGCGCTTTTCATCCAACATTTCGAGTTCTTCGAGACGTTTTTGATGTTGTTCTTCTGTCGTCATCTCAGTTGCGAGAGCGATCCGAAGGGATGGGATTTGGATTTCCAATGGTAGCACAGCTTCACATCTGTATACCAACGAATATAGGGTAGCTCCTGTAGGTGTGCGTATGGTGGTACGATAAGCCCAGAGTGCTTCACCGAGTTTATCATCCCAATCTCGTTTATTGGTCTTTACGAGCTTTGACAGGATCTTAATGATCGTCTTGTTAAACGCCTCAGCTAATCCATTCGCAACGGGATAATAAGTTGTTGACGAAGTATCTTGAATTTTGAACTTGTCACAAAACCTGACGAAGGCGTTGCTTATGAACTGTGGACCGTTGTCATGAATGATCCATCTTAGCACGTCGTGTCGGTATATGACATGATGTTTGATGAAATTGATGACGTTGTTCATCTTCACCTCTCTAAGCAGAATCGCTTCAGCCCACTTTGAAAAGTAATCCGTGATTGCGAGAATGAATCGATCACCTTTGACTGAAGGGGGAAAAATAGGACCGACAATGTCCATACCCCATGTCTCGAACGGCCAAGACGTGGTTGACGTGTGCAACTGCTCTGGCGGTTGA